CTCAGAGCCACAGGGGTAGCCGACAACGCCAGCATCACCAGAGAAACTCGCCATGCAATCGCGAATTAATCGTTTGATCGTCCTGCAAAGGGCCCTCGCAGGTCGCCCTTCGGCCCGCGTCAGCGATCTGGAAGCGGAGTTAGGAGTCAGCCGCAGGACCATTTTCCGCGACATTCGAGCACTCCGAAGCGCTGGCCTCGAGATCCGCTTCGATCCCTCACGAAAGGGACACACCAGCAGCCGCGACGATGACGATAGCCTACCCGACCCCGAAGCTCTTTTGACACTATTGCGTCACGCCGCAGCGACGTCATTGCCCGCAACGACTACCCAACGGCGGCAAGCGGCAGCGGCTGCTGAGGCTCTCGCCACTCGCCTCCCGCCCGCGCAACGGGAGGAGTACGAGCAGTTCCAGGCGAGCGTTATGGTGCGGGCGTTGCCGAGCGACCAGCTGCGTTACGCCGGGGTCCTGGAGGCGGCGCAGCACGCCGCGTCGGCTGGCCGATGCGTCGACGTGTTGGCGCCGCTCCCCGCTGGCGCCACCCTGCGTTGGCATAGCGTGCAGGTTTTGCGGCTGCAATTCGATCTCGCCAAGGGATGGCTGCTAGAGGGTCTCTTGGCCGACAGCCACCATACCTGCCGCGTCGCGTTCGAGGTGATTGCATCGACCCGCGTCGGTGATCGCCGAGTTGTTACGCGGCTAGCTCCTGGCAAAGTCGAGTGGACGGCCGCCGACATCGAGGTGCTGGCTTGAACCTTCTTGGTTCATGACTAGGGCTGTAGCAGAAGTCGACTCTAGGGGCCGCCTACCTAGCGTCTTGGGCCCGCGTTTGCGGATTGGGCAAGCCGTTCGGGTTGTGGCGGAGAAGTCTGAGGGCAACCTCCCGACCGTCGATAGTAGGGGTAGTGAGAGGCGCCTCCCACTGCAGCTATCCCCCTGCGCTGGCACTGGCTCCCCATGAAGGCCGCCACTCGCGCCATTCTGGTGATCCTGGTATCGCTCGGACCTTGCCCGGCGGAGGAAACGCTGCCCCATGCGTGGGGGATAGCGATATCACAGAATCCCTCGCTTCATGGCGCGCGTTTAGAGGCCGGTGCTCTGCGGCAGGAGTCCGAAGCGGTCGCTTCGGGCCAATGGCCTGCGGTCTCGATGCGAACAGGGTACCTCGCCCGAACGGCACAACCCGGCTTCCGAGGGTCTCAACCGGGAGTTGGCGTGTTTGCGTTTCCCTCCGCTCAGCAAAACGCCGCTACCTATTCGGCGCAGTTGACGGCTCCACTATGGACGGCCGGGCGGATAGAGAACTCGGTCGCCTCCACCGAGAGCCGCTATCTCGCCGGTGCGGCAGGCGTGCGGTGGGAGGAGATGCAACTGCGTTTGAAGGTCGCAGAGGCCTACATGGCGATCCTCTGTGCAGACGCTTGGCAAGCGGCTGCCGAGCAAGCCCTGGTCGCCGCGCAGGCCGAATCCGACAACGCGGTCGGTCGAGCAGCCCAACAGCGCGCCTCGAAGACCGATGTTCTTGCGGCGCGAGTCGCCCTAGAGGAGGCAAAGCACCGCGCCAACACCTCCGAGAACGCGGCAACAGCCGCCCTTGCGGAATACAATCAGCTGCTGGGACGCCCCCCTAATTTTGACTGCCGGCCCGCATTCCCCGCCTTGCCTTTACTAGGCCTTTCGCGGGATCAGATGTTGCAACGGGCGATTGCCGTACGGCCGGACGTTCGGGCGTTGCAGGCGACCTTCGACTCATTGAAGCGCGAGTCCGACAGCTGGCGTGCCGCAATGTATCCGCAGGTTAACGCGGAGCTGGGGTACGCCTTCGAAGATAACGATTTCCAGACCCAACCCGGGATCGGGGTGGCGGGGGTCTTCGTCGATTGGAACGTCTTCGACGCGGGGAGCCGGCGCCATAAGTCAGAGGCGGCGTCTGGACGCGCCGCTGCAACGCTTGCTGCGCTGCGTGACCTGCAGTCACAGATTGCTGTGGAAGTACTACGGGCGTGGAATAGCCGGTCCGATGCGATCAGCGCCGAGCGCGCCGCCGCGGCAGGACTGGATTATGCGTTCGAACTCGACCGGTCGATTCAGCAGCGGTGCATGACGGGAGCGGCGATGTCGTCAGAGACGATCGCATCCCGATCGTCTCTGGCAGAAGCCAGGGCTCGCTATCTTGAGGCGTGTACGAACCGGGTGCTGGCGGAATTGCGTTTGCGGTACGCCGCTGGAATGCTCTAAGGACTCGAAATCCTAGCGACCCAGCACTGCGTACGACCGGCAAATCCGGCATTCTCGGCCCTCGGCATCCACTCTTTAGCCGCCCGTCCATCGACCTCGGGTCCGTCTGTGACCTAGGGTTCTGGTGCGGGGCCAAATGCGGCGCCGCCACCTTTTCACCACGACTTATCCGACGAGGGCTGGCGTCTCTGACGCACTATGCCCGCCACGATCCGCACTCCGACTGCCGACGTCACCCGTCGGCTAGCTGATCGATTGGGCTGCTTCCCGAACTCGACCCGCGTCAACCTTGGAAGGGGTAAATATCGTGTCCCCACCCCGGCCGAACAGCCTTCCGTCGAACACCAGCCCGAACATCTCCCTGCAGCTGGCGCGTACGAACGACCAGTACTGCGGAGCGTTTGAGCTGGCTTACAAATCGTACTGCCGCGCTGGGCTCGACAACCCGAACGAGTACGGCATGCGGGTAACGGCGCACCAGCTACTGGACACCTCTCAGGTGTTCGTCGCCACCTATCACGAGGAGGTGATTTGCACCCTCACGCTTGTGCGGGATGGCGAACTCGGACTACCGATGGAAGCCGTCTACCCTCAAGAGATCGCCAGCAGGCGCAACCGTGGGCTGCGGCTTGCTGAGGTGACTTGCCTTGCCGACCGTCGGCTGAGCCCTAAGCGGTTCTTCACCCTGTTTTGCGAGTTAAGCCGCTTGATGGCCCAGTTCGCCGAACTGCACGGCGTCGACGAGATCTGGATCGCTTGCCACCCCAACCACGCGCTGCTCTACGAACGACGACTCGCATTCGAGCGGCAGGGAGAGCTCAGCGACTATCCAGCGGTCCTCGGGAACCCGGCTGTCCCCCTCTGCGTGGATTTACGCGAACTGAAAGTGAACTATCCACGGGTCTGGCGGCAGTTCTTTAGCGAGCGAATCGCTGAGGACATTCTTTCCCCTTCGCACCTATGCCCCGAGCAGAAGGCCTTCTATTCAACGATTGTCCAACACTGCGGTAACGTACGTGAGGGCGAGCTAGTCGAGCTTGCATAGGCGCTTGCAGGCAATCAGTGCCTATGGGGGATAAGCGTCCTAGTAACGGTCGCTCAACCGAGATGTCGATGAGGGGAGCTAAGGTCTCTCAGGTCTCTTGCAAAGCCCTTGCAGGAAGAGCCTACCCCCCTATCGGTAGGGCGTGGCGGGGCAATTCCGAGTCCGGTGAAGTGGCGCGACAATGAACATGCGCCCACATCGCCATAGAGGGCCCATAGGCGCGACTTTATTCACCACCTGAGGGTTTACCCAGGCCCCCGCAAAGCACGCGGCATACGGCCTCCTAGAGCCTCCTAAGGTGGCAGCGGCAAACCGCACGTCCGTTGTTGCACCGCGTTAGGACCAAGGTGGGCGAAGGTCCTCCTGATCGATGCCTGCTCGTGATCGACTAGGTTGCACCAGATCGCAAAGGGACTACGCGGGGATGTCGGGGTCAGCAGAGGGTCCTCGACGGGCCGAACGCATCAACGTGAGGTTGGTCTCGCTGAGCGCCTCGTTAATCTCGCCGAGGTGACTATTGATACGGATCAACTCTTGGCAATAGGCCGACTTGGAGCGTTCGCCGACCCCCAAGCCGAGGACAAAGCTTGTCGCCAGCCCTCCCAGCACCGCAAGTCCGCGCGTCGTCGCGTCCGACGATATTGATGCGATGAACCCACAGCCCCCAAGCAACAGCAATGCGGCGACTGTCAGCAGCTTAGTATTCATACGCCGCTCCAGTTCCGCCCAGACCGACGCCGCAGGGGGTGCGGTCTGGATGATCGTGGCGCCCCCTTCAACCCTACGTCGCCAACGAGACGATGGCCAACCGATGCCCCAGCTTAGGCGTCGATGAAGGCGGGCGGCGTCTCAACTCACTCGACTTACCTGCAATCGCCGCTCTGCCCTGCAATCGCCGCGTCGCAGCAAGGCCAGCCTTGGAAAGGCGGCGACTCACTTATTTCTCGCAGTCACCGAGACGCAGCTACGCCCGAGCGGCTGAAGAACTGTCCCGTGTTGAGAAATGTCGACCGCGACCCCGGAGTTTGGAACCAACTGGGTGTTCCGGAGACCGGCCCCTCTGTTTGGGTCTTCAAGAGGTTGGTTTGCAGACGCTGGATCTGAGAGTTCTGTTTCAGGAGCAGGGCTTGCTGCTGCTGATTCACCTGCAATTGCTGTAGCTCGGGACGCACCAACGAGTAGTAGTTCGGAATTGCCGAATTGTTCTGGCGCAGCAGATTGAGGTAGGGACTGACCGTTGGCCGAGCCGGCTGAAACCGCTGCGGACGCTGGGCCTGCGCCGCGCCTGAACTCACCATAAGCACCAAGCCCGCCGTCAACAGTCCCCAAACCGCCCCATTTATCCGGTCCGTCTTCATCGCAACTCCCGTTGACGTCAAACCGTCGCTAAACGCACTACGAGGATTATGTCGGCTGTGATGCGACTTCTACTTCAGCATTGTAGCGGAACTGACGATAGTACCAAGCATGCGTAACTAGGGATTCCGCCTGGCAAGCTTCAATGCTTCGGCAGGTAGACCGTTCATGGACGAACGATGGGATCAAGACACTTCG